AAAAAGATCCAAACTTTTAAAAAAATTTCAAGTGGAAAATTATACCAATCAAACACACTTATAATTCCCAGTAAATTATTTTCTAGGAAAATCTTTTTCCTATAAAACATTTTATTTCTACCCATTTTCCACCCTTTCAATCAAACGGATCCTAAACATTTTATATTGCTTAATTTAGCAGTATTTTCCAAATTTTTTATTTTTAATTCTTTTATCATTTAGACGATACTAAGTTTAGAAAACTAAAGTGGTATTTTATAATATTAAAAATACAATAAATTTGGCTTTAATTAATTAAAATAATAAAATAATAATAAATAATTATACAAATAATCAAAAAAGGCCACCTCTACTTGACATAAATAATAACATCAAAGATATCAAAATGATTGTTAGAATATCAATTTTATGTTAGTAAATTATATAAAATAGTGTTATTTAGTATTTACAAACAACAAATTATGTTGTATAGACGGTAGCTTGTGACCATTGGTTACAAATATTATATAAATATAAAATTTTATTAAATTCATATTATATAAATATAAAATTTTATAAAATTAGTAGAAATATTAAATACACTCTTTGCTTTTTTAATTATTTTTTCACATAAATTTGCGTTCTCTTCGACAACCCCACGAGACCAATGGAAACAATTGGAATTTTGATACAAATAAAGAGGAAATAAAAATTATCTCCAATTAAACCTTGTGCAACTTGATTTATATATTTTATGTGTCAAGCATGTGCAAGCCAACGTCTTGTTTAATGAGCTCATAATTTTTGGATTGATCCTAGATTTTTCTCTCAATTTTTTTATGTCTTGAATATAAATATTAATGAATAATTTTATTGTTTCTATAACAATTAAAATTTAATAGGGTAGTTCAATTTGATATAATAATGAGGCGATACTTTGGATTCAAATCTCTCTATCGGTTATAAAACTTTCAAGTCAGAGGAACAAAAATTTTGATCTAATTCGACGATCTAAAGTTCAAATGAGCATTCAGATTCCATACCACGACTTGTAGGAGCATGTTAATGATAAAATCCAGCATTGGTTTAAGGATAAAAATATAGACCGCTATAAATGAATTTCAATAACTCCTACTAATAATGTTGACTTATAAATAATATGTAAACCAATATGTTGTCTTAGTGATGTCAAGTGGATCAAGAAGGGACAATCGGACTTCGCCACGAACGTAGCCTGGTGCCCATCATTTTTACCCCTTGTGGCAAGCACGATACATTGAGATCCCCTGGCCCTTTTGGGCTCTTGCCCAACAACCATAGAGTAATCTCGTAGTTGCAATCTCACATTGTCACAACAAATATCACCTATATTTTCTCACTTTCAAATTCTAGCACCACTATTGCCGCCGCCATTGATCTAAAAACTCATTTTCAATTTTGAAATCGTGATCTCACCGCCTACAACCACCACCTCTCTCTTCTATCTTTCAAACCTAGCACCACCACATTGTATTGAACCCTGCTTCACGTACTGGGACCTGTTTCACAGGTCTCTTATAGGGAAACTCGCATAGGTGGGACCCATGCAAACTTTTTTTTAATGGTGGGGCCCACCATGTGAGTGACATGGTGAGTCCCTGTGAATTATTCCCGTGTACATGGGGAATTAATTCTATCGTACTTTACCTCTGTCTAGATCTAACGTCGATATAATTGTTGCTTCTATTACACGCCCCACTTTTGGACTAAGCATAACATCTATGGATCGTGAAATGAAAGTCGCACGTGCAGAATCTTTAAATTCTCACTAACAGAATATTTCTGAGAAATAGATAGAATAGATTAGTAGCAATAATAGTTTTGGCTTGTCTGGTATTGATGTTATCGCAAACCAATTTCTCTCACACATCATGGCACACCCATGATTCTCAAACGTTTCATAAAAATCTTCAATGCTACGAAATAATAATCGAGGGAAAAAGAAGCTGCGGAGCCGCCTGTCTAGTAATTCCTCGTCATCATCACCACCAGGTTGATCAGGTTTGGTCTCTTTTTCCAGTATGTAGTTTATTCTGACGATAAACTAAACAAAATCATTGCAATTGGACACTCTCTGTAGAGGCCTCCGCAGAAAACTGCAGCTATGCTCGCACAATTGGTATTCACAATGATATCTTGCATCAGAAGGGGAAGAAGGAGATGAAGACATGGACTGATGGACAAAGTTTTTTCTTTCTGTGACTATCAGTTAAGCAAAATGTCAGGCCATCACTTTTCGAAGTTATGAAGTGACATCTCATTGCCTCATCGATTAATGTCTCTGAGATGGTGAAATAACATGCCACCATCTTGATTATTTGAGTGTGTTTGGGAGAGATTATCCCAATTGAAAATCAATTTTTGCGTCAAATCTTAAGGCCCACTGACTGCTATCTTGAGAAGTGTGAGGGTGGAAATTGCACAAAATGGACCATTTAATCTTGAGTGAATTGGGTAAGGTCTGTGTGAACATGTAATGTGGAGGGCAAACTGGGAAGTTGTACTGTACTTGCCTCTGTTTGTCCTGCAAAGTTGTCAGCTATTTTGCAATAAACAATTTTCCAACGGTTCTTTTTTTGATCAGCAACGGTTTGAATTATACTGTCCAGTGCGCCCAGACACGCCCTTTGTAAGTTCCAAGTCATTGAGAACATGGCCCAACACCTTGTCAATGGAGGCCTCCGAGGCAAATTAACTTGTCTGAACAATTGTCACCTTCCTTCTCAAATGTCTGGACTCCCAATCCATTGCCACCTAATGTTGGCCTCCATCTCCATGTTTAGGACTATTGAATTTCGACCCTCATTGAATAATGAATAAATGAGGACACATATTACTTTTCCATACATATTATAAAGACTCACGAGTACTACTCACTTATATAAAATCCATTTCCCATCAATACATTATTCAAAAATGCACTTTTTTTAAAACAAAAATGGGTCTCGAACAAGCCTTAAAGTTCAGGATGTATTTTCATGATAGTTTTCCTCCGTTGCACTACTTTTTTATCGCACTAAAAGTGTTGAATCTTTGCTGATTGCCGTGCTTCATTTCTCCACCTTTTGCATTACATTATTATTCTTAATCTTTTATTAATTAGTCATATGATCGTGAACGAGAAACAAACCACAAATATTTTTCTACACTTGAACATTTATTACTTTTTATTTATTAAAAAAAAAGGGTAAAACGAAGTATTTTTATAACCTCGTAACAAATAGAAACTTGGGGATGATTGTGACAATGAAATAAGCAGGGACGGATGTAGGGGGTTGAACTGGGTTGTAGCCCGATTCAGTCCACGGCCCACTGAATATTTTTGGTAGAAAATATTTTTTTATAATTTCGTGTGTAATTTTTTTTTTACTTGGACCCCACTAGTGGGATGCACCACCAGAAATCTGGCTTGAAGCTGACTATCACCAATTATTTGGAAACAAGCAGTAACCGCCTCAGCATTAGGGCTCGTACACCGCCGTAACAGGCCTGTATTTCTCTGCACTGTTCGCATGAAAATCGGAAATTGAAAAATTCAAGAACATAATCAGCACTGTGCATAGTGATAGAGCATAATCAATTTTTGTGCTCTGAATACTCTCTATAACAGTCAGTTTTGAACCTTCTTCGGAGGAAAAGGTGTGTTAATCTCGATCTTACTCGTGTTCATTAATGTTATATTCTCTTTAATGTGATGTGTAAATGGTTGATTTGTTTATTTTTTTTAGTTATTTATCTATGCATTGCTTTATTGTGCAAGTGATTTAGATATTTGGATGTGATTTTGGTGAGAGTTTCGATCGTTTGGTTGATAAATGATGGATTTGGAATTGAATTCAAGTGCTGATTTTAGGAGAGATTTATGTCGTTATAAACAATTGGTCGTATATTAATTTGATATTTCTTTTATTTTGATTTATTGGTTTTTAGAATTTTCTGTTTCAGTATCTATGGAAATGACTTTTTTTCTTTTTAAGTATAATTGTTAAAGCCTTACTAAGCTTTAATTTTCTGGTTTTAGAAGATTTTGTTGAGTTATACCACTGAGGAAAATGCCCTCTTCAAATTCATCTCAAAACATGAAAGAGCTTGATGGAGGGAAACAAAACTTGATGTGTTTCATGTCTTTTTTTTACCACCTTTCTTTACCTTGATGCAGTATTTAAGACAAAACAGGATGGTTAGAGCGTATTCCCAAGAACACACTTACAAGCACCCATGGGAACGAGTCACAGCAGCATCATGGCGCAAGTTTGCTGACCCCGAGAACAAACGCAGTCTAACTCACATCCTTGAGGTCGACACTCTGAATCACAAGCTTGACCCTAGTTCCGGGAAGCTGTACACAACTCGAGCTATCACCATCCATGCTCCAGGACCATGGTTTGTTCGCAAGATCATTGGTCAGGATATATGCCACTGTGTTGAATCAACTGTCGTTGATGCACAATCTCGTTCAATGCAACTTGCATCCCGTAATATCAGTCTCCAAAAGTTCATTGAAGTGGAAGAGAAGATCAGATACGACCCTCATCCCGAGAACCCAAATCAATGGACTATTTGTAAGCAGGAAACTAGCATACGGATCAAGCCATTGTCGACTCTGGCATCGATGGCAGAGAAGATAGAGCAGCGATGTGTGGATAGATTCCAACAGAATAGTGCCAAGGGTAGAGAGGTTATGGAGAGGATTTGCAAGTATCTTGAAGCTGAATCCCGCAGGATTTCTCTCAGATCTTGATTTCTTTCTTTGAGTTCGACTTTTTCGTAACAGTTTTAGTCGTGGGCTAAACAACCATGTCGCAACTTGACAATACTTTGTTTTAGACTTCAAACTGATAATAATAGGCATGTGAAGAATTTGCCCTCAAAAGTAATTTCTTTTTTATTTTTTCCGTAATCTTTGCTTTTTTATGCAATGAGTCTTGGAGGTAGCAAATGTTCCTTGACACGCTAGGAATGTAACAAATAAAGATAAGTGCTTATAAGCTCGAGAAACATCTTTTGATAGTTTCTAGTCGTGGACTAAACCACCATGTCGAAACTTAACAAGACAGCATTGTAGACTCCCAGTCGTAATTATAGATATATGGAGAGTAAGAACACAATTTATTTTTTCTTGTACTGTCAAGTCCTCAAATTTCAATGTGGATGGCTGTTCACAACGATGAGAATTTATGCAAGATAAGGCATGCTATAAGACAGGAGCACAATTTACAAGCAGACCACAATAATCTTGTGCATGTTTAGAAATTGCATATACCACTCAGAAATGATCTAAATTGACACAAACCCAACCAAATCACAATGTTTTCCACCAAACCAGAACATACAAAGCACTAAGAAACACAATTCCTGTCCAATCACCATGGATATAGAACTTCCAACCAGATGTTTTAATCGGACAGATCCGATACGCCATAATTTTAACAGATTATATTCTCAAGTAATGTTCTTTCTTAGATTTTATCCAGCTTCTCTGCCTTGACAACTGGGTTGGCTTTTGCTATAGCATCCTGACCTGCGCTCCGGTAATCAAATGGGCAGTCGTGTTTGTCTGAGTAACGGTGGGACCCACAAAAGAGGCTACCACATCGGCATTTGAACCCGGTTAAGCCGACCTTTTTCTTGCAAGAGTTGCATCTACTAGGGCCGCCCTTTGCCTTAGGCTCACCCGCCTCAGAAGAGGTCGAAGAATTGGATGATGGCACGGATATGGCCTTCACCTGCATCAAGTCCTCTTGCACATTTGCAGGGTCAGCAACAGCAGATTCTTTCTCGTTGCCACTCGAGGATCCGTTGACAATGTTCTCAATTGATGATGCAGCAAATTTTGCCTGTTCTTGTTTCAATATCAGGTCCTTGTAACACTTGGAGCACATGTTCATGTTCGCGGGGCTCCCAAAGAAGCCACAGTTGTTGACGCACAAAACAGGACCTTCCTGAGGGGGGTGGCATCCGGTCTCCTCATGCTCCATTTCAAAACTTCGTCTGCACCAGAGTCATAAAAATTGACGATACCATAACTTCATAGAACTAAAATTTTCCATCCTAAAGAAATGGAAGAATGGAAGCATATCATTCGCAAAAATTCTTTGGGTAGAGACGAAGAGATATTGAAATAGTTAATATGAGTCTACAATATTATTACCTCAATTCGAAGTTCTTAGTTAGCAAAATAGTTATGATTAGTCTACGATATTATTACTTCAATTCAAAGTTCTTACTTACTTCGACTGGAGAACAGTTCAATGTTAAAAGGAAAGAATATTTATTACTTATATCAACTTCGAAACATATACATAAATAAATTCAACAGAACGAGCATAATGATATGCTAACTTTATCTTCTTCAACACACGTGTAATAACATAAATTTAACAAGATGCGTATAACGACATACTAAATTTATCATCTTTCCTCTAAAGATCCCATTATCTAACGGCAAAACTAAAGCAACTAACCGTATCTGTTACATGTTAGGAAAGCAACTAAAGGACGTTTAAAGTATGTTTGAAGTAAATTTTTTAGAATAGATTGTGAAAAGTGATTCTTTTTGGAAAATGCGTGGACGTTAAAAAGTAAAAGTAGGGAAAAATTAAGCGTCCATGGCAAAATTATTTTGTTGGACGAACGTGTAATTGCAAATAAGTTTGGAGAAAATGAGTTCTAAAGAATATTTACCAAACATAACCTTAGAATAAGCTTAGAATTTAGAAGACCATCTGGGAAATTCTGTGTAAATAATCCATTCAAACAGAAATCTATAAAATTCAAAACAATAACATATAAGCAAGCTCATACAGTGGAAATTACATATTCATATAACAGAAATTTTTACTTGAATGAATCTTTTAGCGTTTGCAGGGATTTCTAGATTAATAAAATATATATAATTCCATGAACACAAACTGCAATGACAATTTAGAAGCTATATTTTATCTTTATTTTCGAAAAAGATCCCATCTCTAGCCAAAAAATTCTTGAACAACACACTGTGAACCATTCTAATCAACAGATAATAAAAAGAATTATGTAATAAAAAACATAAACTTCTGTTTACAAAATAAACAAAAAAAAAATCAATAAAAAAAAAACCCCTAACACTGAAAGGGAAAAAAAATTATTATTTTTGGTTCTTAAATCTGGACGATCAAAATAAAATTAAAAAAATTATAACAAAGAAACACAGACAACATAATTAAAATAAAATCAGAAATAACACACATCTTAATCTGCGATATTCAAATATTGAAAAGCTAATCAAAAACCCAACTTAAAAAATTCCTCAGATTTACAGATCCATAATTCATGTTCAAAATACACACATAATAACAAGTATCTAAACAGAACTAAAAAGGAGAAAAAGATTGAGAGACTGACCGTTGAAAAATAGAGATCAGAAAAAAGGGAGGGCAATAGTTTCTTTTTTCTCTTGATTTCTATTTGATGTAAATGAGAATTTCTTGAATTAAATTGATAAAACGATTGAAAAGTATGAATGAGAGATAAATATTAAATACCGGTGGTTTGATTTCTGAGTAGTCTTTTACTTTTTGTACCCTTTGCCCCATCCCAGCACCCTTTATTGATTAATTCGGCATCAGGCAATGCCGTGGGCGATCTCTATTTCTTGTCTCTCCATTTACTTTCTTGCCCTTGTACACACATGGCCTAATATTGTACATCCAACCCCATGGGCTTGCTTGTTTCAAGTAAAGACTGTCTAACAACTCAAGTACGTTAGATAGGTTGCTAGGGTTTGGTATCGAAGTCGAGGCACGGAGTCCTCCCTTTTGGTTTAATGACTTCTCCTTGAAAAGGCCATAAATTGATTTGCACCTCCTACTGACTGGTCGTTGAGGCCTCAAAACTTGCAAATAATCTTACTCAGCCTCCAAAATTAAGGAAAACTCACTCCTCGGTCTATATCAATAAAATGCATTGTCGCATTGAATAGTCTCACTTGGTGAACTTTTTCCTTTTGGAATCTTTTCCTATACCTGCTTCCTTTAGGGTGCCTCAAGTTATACAACATTTTGCTCCTACTCAAAGAATGAATTTTTTTAGGTATATGGTCTTTTAATATTTGGCATTATTTATATGGTTACGACGCACATAATGATAACGCCGTGTTCACATCATGATAGTGACGTTTCGTCTGAAGCAGTTCCATATGCACATCATGTTATCCATCACGACACTATGTACACATTATGCCACATGATGACAGTATTTTATGTGATGATTAAGATACTTTGTGCACATCATGACAACACGATGATAGTACTATATGAACATCATGTCAAAAGAAACAATTCTGTGTGCACACTATTGACTTTCAATTGTATAGATACGAGTTCTGAAAAATGTCCAAACCTCAAGGTTACTTCTCCAAATCTTGTGCTACCCAATACACAAATAAATGAAAATGGTAATGAGTTGGTTCAAACCAACTTTTTGCATGATAAACTTCAAAAATTGTTCAGAATTTCGCTTTTTTTTTTTTAACAACTAAATTTTTTTTCTAATTTTGATTTTACTTTTTGATGTACTTCAAAGTAAATTTTATTGATTGAAGTAGTTTTAAAAATGAATAAAAGCAGTTCAAATTTGGCCAACTAGTTAATTGGACATATTACACTTGGATCTTCAATTGATTTTTATTCACATTCAAGTCCCCAATATTTGAATTTTGTTGTACTTGAGTCCTTATGGTCATTAGCTGAAAAATACTTTACTCATATTAATTCTCCCTTCCCATTTTCCAGAGTTAAATGTTTCATTAGCCACTGAACTTTGGGTTATGTCACGGCTTACTCACCGAACTTTCAAAATTGTCTCGGTGGCCACTAAACTTCACTCCGTCCAACTCCATCACTCACGTATTTCAAATCGTTAACAGACGTGTCTATGTGGATGATGGAAAAATGACTTGGCCGGTGAAATCCTTCCAAATAAGTTCTCATTCGCCAACTCATTAGCCAAATAAGCAAGCTCCAAACCAAACATGCTATTACCAATTTTTGGAAACATGACTCCGGTAAATCTTATATGCCAAACCCAATTTGGAAAGTTTCCCCAAACCCAAGTCTTGAGCGTGAAATCCCTTTGTCCCAAATCCATCTCAAGAACCCTAAACCTCCAAAAAAATCAAATCGGTAAGAAGCTCGTCGATCGTTACTAGTAGAGAGCCCAACCAGAAGCAGTGTCTATTCGATTTGAGAAGTTCAACTTCGAGCAAGAGCGTGCACATGGACGGAACTGTTGAAGGTAACTTCGAGTTTTTGGAGATGTTTTTCTTCTTCATAATGAGGAAGCATAGATAATGAAATATTAGAATTCATTTTTAAAGCTCGGCCATAGTTATTTGGCGTCGTAGGGTAGGGATTGACACAGTACTATGTATTTTCCTCCAAAACACAGTCCGATATTGACCTTGTTGTTGAGCTTTACGATAAATTAATGAATGTTCAAAAGGTATGTTTCCACTATTACACTCGTAGTGTTGTTTACTATATACTTCAGTTTCATTATATAACTTTGAACTGCATCAAGATTTCTTCTAGCGTTTTCGTGTTTATTCTGGTAAATAGGATGTACTACAGTGTGTAATTTCTTTGATTTGCTTTGATGTGGATACTTAGAAACTGAATTTGGATCATAAAGAATACTACAGTGTCCTCTTTTTACGAATTGTGTATGGTTACCTTATCAATATAGTAGATGATTTAGATAGTTTTATGCAGAAGAAGAACTTGTTACACTTAACTCAATGTCAACATATTTATGATTTGTCCAGTTTTTTCCAGAACAGATTTGCTTCCTAGCTTCGAATATTTTGCTTACCACGTTGAGAAATCTTAACTGACTCAAAACCTTGTAAATCCTATTACATGAATCTAATGTGTTTGAATTGTATGACAAATTGTGAGGAAGATCCGAACTTCGTGGAATCTGACCACGACTTTGAGTTCGACGACGATGACATCCAATATGATAGAAACATAACTGATGGGATTGAAATTGGATCGGGCAACCATGACAATGAAGTTCAGGAAGAACGAGAAGTAGGCAATGAGAACGAGTTAGATGAATTAGACCTACCATCGTCAAATGATCTACTCCCCCAATGTTTATCAGATGAGGATGTCAGTTATCACTTTCCTTAATTCACTTTTGATCAGGACATGATAAATCCTCAGTTCGAGGTAAGACAAATATTCAGTTCTGCAGTAGAGTTTCAAGAGGCGGTGCGAACGTACGGTGCATTGAATGTGTACAACATAAAATTTAAGGCAAATGAGGAAAGAAGAGTACAAGGAATTTGTAAATTGGGTTGCAAATGGAGAATATGGGCTTCTAAATTTGATGGATCCAAGAGGTTGCAAGTAAAATCTTACACTTCAGAGCATACCTGTAGCCGAGATCAGTTCAATAGACACTGTAATTACATGTTCTTGACACGTCGATATATTAAGCAATTTAAGGCTGACCCGACTGGAAGACTGAGTAAATTTTGGCAACAGTGAAGAAGGATCTCCGTACAGATATTAGCCAAAATGTAGCATGGAAAATGCGAAGATACGCAAAAGAACTATTAGTAGGGACTTTGCAAGTGCAGTTTAGGGGATTGAGGTCTTATGCATCCAAGGTACTTCGTACAAATGTTGGCTCGACGGTCATTATTATTATGTAATTAACGATCTTATTTAGCCCAGGTTTGATTCTCATTATTCTCATAATAAATGTGTGCACTCATAATAAACAACCAACCAACATCAAGATGTCAATCACGCTAATTTCTATTAACAGTCCAGAAATGATTGTTTTATAAACTAATAGAATATTTGATAAGTTGGTCTCCAGATGACTTGCCCAAGTAGTGCAGCTAGTGTTGGAAGTGTAGGATTAGGACCAATACGCGAGGAAAATAGCACGACCAATATACCGGTGAGCGA